CCCCCCCCCCCCTCCTCCTCCTCCTCCTCCTCCTCCTCCTCCTCCTCCTCCTCCTCCTCGCAATGATGTCTTTTTGCTCAGGACTTCGTCGGACAACACAGGAATCTGGACATGATTGAGAGGAAGGCTCTCGACCCGACCCCTCCCGAGGCTTCCTTGGCTCAGATCCGACAGGTGCTGCTGGAGCATGAGGAGGTGGAGGGCGGAAGGAGGGAGCAAGCAGAGGGGAGAGAGAAGGAAGACGTGGAGGAGGTGGCAGAAAGACGAGAGGCATAAAAGGAGGGCGAGGGCGAGAACGATGACGAGGACGAGGAGGGGGAGGAGGAGGGGGAGCACGAGGAGGGGAGAGGGAGAGGAGAGTGGAGGACGGGGAGGATCAGCAGAAGGATTCTGATATTTTTGTCCTTACAGGCGGTAGTGGAGCAACTCGTCCTGCCACTCGGCTCGCAGGCTGTGCATGAGAAGGCGCCGTTTGTGAACAAGGCGCTAATATACGGTCCCAAGGTGAGCAGGAGCAGGAGCAGGAGCAGGAGCAGGAGCAGGAGCAGGAGCAGAGGAGAAAGGCGGAGGAAGGAAATGAGGAGAAGAAGGAAATACAAGAGGAGAGCGAGGGAGGAGGAGGTGGAGGAGGAGGAAGTGAGAGCTGCGGCAGGGATGCGGGAAGACGATGCTCTCCATGGCGATTGCTAGAGAGACAGGAAGCAACTTTTTCAACCTCTCGGCTCGAAATCTCGACCCAGGGGCTCCAGGATCAGGTGAAGATGGGGAGGAGTGAAAAGGGAGGAGAGGAGGGAGAGGTGGGAGAGGTGGGAGAGGTGGGAGAGGTGGGAGGAGGGACGGAGAAGTCAGAGACAAAGGGGGGAAGGAAGAGGAGGTTGCGGGGAAGGTTGCGAGGAAGTGTGGGAGGGATGGAGGAAGAAGAGGACGGGGAGGAGAGAGAGGAGGAGACGGAGAGGGAGGTGAGTGTGACGCTGGTGCACAGGACGTATCAAGTATCCCGACAAGAAGGGAGCAAACTCTGCTGTGATGATGCTGCACATGGTCTTCAAGGTTGACATGGCGGAGGGAGGGAGGGAGGGAGGGAGGGAGAGGGTCAGCAGGTTGACCGATGTTTTAGGTTGCAAAAGCTTTGGCTCCCTCTGTAGTCTACATGGACGAAGTGGAATGGACATTCATCGCAGACAAGAAGAAGGTAATCGAGAGGAGGAGAAGCAAGGAGAGGAGGGGGGAGAGGAGGAGGAGGAGGAGGAGCAGGAGGAGGGGAAGGATGATTGACCTGACGTTTCATCAGCTGAAATCTCAGTGGCCGGGGGAAAAGCCACCGTCGAGATTCTTGAAAGATTTCCTCAAGGAAGTGAAGTTTCTCAAGGAGGAGGATAGGATCCTTATCCTGGGGAACTCACGGTCTGCCCGCTGCTCCTCCCCCTCCCCCCTCCTCCTTGCCTGACTTTCCCTCTAGGCGCCCCTTCTTTGCTGAGAAAGGAGATCTGAAGAAGATGAACACTTTCTTCAAGGTTTCTCCGTCCTGCCTGTCTGCCTTCCTCCTTCGCTCCTCTCACTCGCTACTCCTCCTCGTATCGCTCGCTCGCCCTGTCTTTCTCTTCTCTCCCTCCCTTCCTACCTGCCTGCTCTGGTCCAGTTTCTCCCATCTCTCTGCGTTACTTCCCCACATAGTGCCTCCTTTTTGCTCTTTCCTCCCTTTTGCTCCTCCCATTCACTTACCAACCTTTGTAGGACTTCAAACTTTTCATCCCTCTGCCAGACTATCCCTCCTTCCAGGTGCTCCAGTCTGTTCCTTCCTCCCTCCTCGCTCGCTCTTGCTCCCTCCTCTTTCCCTTCTCCCTCACTCCTCGCTCCTCGCTCCTCGCTCCTCTTCCCTTGCACCTCCTCCCTCGCACCTTCTCCCCCCTTCTTCTCCCCCGTTCTTCTTCTGCTATCCTCTCGTTTGTCCTCACCGTAAATTCCTGCAGGCGATCTGGCGATCCCTCATCCTCCGGAACAAGGGAGTCATCACGGTAAGGATACACCCTCCCTTTTCAGATCAACTTCCCCCTCTCCCTCTCCCTCTCCCTCTCCCTCCCCCTCCCCCTCCCCCTCTCCCTCTCCCTCTCCCTCTCCCTCTCCCTCTCCCTCTCCCTCTCCCTCTCCCTCTCCCTCGTCCTCTTCCTCATCCTCGTCCTCGTCTCACCGCCGCGAGCAGGATGCGCTGGACTTCCAGACTCTCGCCTGGATCACCAAGAGCGCAGGATACACACCTGGAGCGGTTGACGCTGTCTGCAAGAAGGTTGATCTCCTCTTTCCAATTGCTCATCGTCTTCGCCTCTTCGTCCTCGTCCTCGTCCTCCTTCTGCTCCTCTTCTCCTCGTCCTCGTCCTCGTCCTCGTCCTCGTCCTCGTCCTTCTCCTCGTCCTCGTCCTCGTCCTCCTCCTCCTCCTCCTCCTCCTCCTCCTCCTCCTCCTCCTCCTCCTCCTCCTCCTCTTCCTCCTTGCCCTCTGCTCTCCTCCTTGGCTCCTCCTCTCACGGTATTCCTGGTCATCAGGTCCTCACACAGAGGAGGCTTCAGCGACTTCCCATCAAACCTCTCTCCCACAACGAGTTTCTCCCTCACCTTGCCAAGATCGATCCAATCTTCAAGGTCCACTTACTTCCCTCCTCTTGTTCTCCCTCTTCCCGTCTCCTCTCCTCTCCTCTCCTCTCCCCTCCTCTCCTTTCTCCTCTCCTCTCCTCTCCTCTCCTCTCCTCTCTCCTCTCTCCTCTCCTCTCCTCTCCTCTCCTCTCCTCTCCTCTCCTCTCTCCTCTCTCCTCTCTCCTCTCTCCTCTCTCCTCTCTCCTCTCTCCTCTCTCCTTCTCTTCTCTTCCGCCTTCGACTCTTCTTCACATCACCCAAGCTCCTCGTCCTTCTCCTAGTACTGACTGCTGGAGCAGGAGGACTATGAGCAGTTCATGGCCTGGAACCTCAAGAACAATCCGCAGGGGAAGCAGGTGAGAAGGGGGAAGAAGGGAAGATGGGGGGGAGTGACGCAGGAGGAAGGAGAGAGATGAAGGATGGAGAGGGCAGGGAGGAGGGAGAGAAGGGAAGGTGAGAGGGGGAGAGTGAGAGGAGGGAAAAGGGAGCGAGGAACCAGAGGAGATGAAAGAGAGGAGGGAGAGAGGAAGGAACCAGAGGAGATAAACGAGAGGAGGGAGAGAGGAAGGAACCAGAGGAGATAAACGAGAGGAGGGAGAGAGGAAGGAAGGGGAGAGAAGGGAGGGGAAGGAGGGACCTGGAATGCGAGAACGTCGGTCGAAGAGGCTGATGCGTCAACAGGAGCCGAAGGAGAAGAAGCCCAAGGCAGAGAAAGCGAAGGGAGGGAAGAAGAAGAAGTGAGAGGGAGAGGCGAGGAGGAGGAGTAGGAGTAGTAGTAGTACGAGGAGGAGGAGGATGCGGCTAATTCTTGCTGTAAACATTTTATTCTTTTTGCAAATGAATATCGCGAGGGAAGCGATCTAGAACTTTATGTACAGAAGGGAAGTAAGAGGAGAGGGACAGTGAGGGAACAGGAGAGGAGATACACGACAAAACGAGAGCGGGGAGTGGGAGTGGGAGTGGGAGTGGGAGTGGGAGTGGGAGTGGGAGTGGGAGGAGAGGGGGGCGGGAGGAGGAGGAGGAGGAGGAGGAGGAGGAGGAGGAACGCTGTCACTGTCCCTCCATCATGGTCAGCCACATCGGATCCTCTTGCTCCGCCACCGTCGTCTCTATCAGCGATCTTAGCATGCTCGGCCACACCACATGGAGGGTCTCGATCGCCTCGGCGGACGCACAGGCGTCAGACAGGATCGACTTCGACGCCTCCTCTGCAACCCGCCGGTTCATCGCCCCCCCAGTCGTCCGCAGCTGCTCTGAGCCAGCCAACGTCCGGAAGCTCGGAGTCCCCGGCAAGTCCTCGAACCCCAGCTGGGCCATGGCAGAGGAGAGGCGCAAACAGGTCTGTGAGGAGCTCTGCGAGAGATGCTTTGAGAGGAGGGAGCTGAAGGCGCCGAAGGCCTCGGAGGAGGAGGACCTCTCCGACTTGCTGATCGTCTCCCCGTTGAACTCCACCAGCTGCCCGATGCGGTAGATCACGTACGGCCTCAGCATGGCCGAGCTGCAGACGGGGTTTTCCTTCACCTGCAGGCTCTCGAGCTTCACCATGGCAGCCACGGGATTGAGCTCAGCAATGCTCAGCAGGTTGTTGTTGGCAAGGACAAGCCTCGTTACCCCTGTCAGCGACGCCAGGTACGGTGCCGCCCGTCGCATCGTCACGTATTGCAGCTGTGCTGTGCTAACGCCCGAGCTGAACTTTTCCAGCTGGTCAAAGCTTGTCCCGTATACGTTCAGCATCGAGCTCTTGCCGTTGCCATTGCCCCCGACTACCTCCATGAAGCCGTGGGACAAGGAGTCCCTCTCCAGCAGCTCCCTGCTCCTCGACGACTTGCACTCCTCTTCCCACTCATCTCTCACCATCTTCAGCGCCTCCTGCTTCTCCTCAATCGCCTGCCCCTTCTTCATCTCCACCTGCAGCCTCTCCTCCGCCTTCCTGGCCTGCGCACTTGCCATTCGACGCTCGTCGTCGGACACGCGCTTGAGGTCAAGGTGGCGCAGGTTCTTCAGGTTGTCCAGCACAACCTGCCTGTAGCCGCACTCACTCGCCACCGGGTTGCCATCGAGCGCCAGCTCTAGAAGGTTCTTGTTCATGAAGATCGACTCAAGCGCGTCGAAGGATGCCAGCTGGTTGTTGGAGATGAACGCCCGCTGCAGCGTTGAGATCGCCTCCAGCGATCGGACCTCGGTGATCAGGTTGCGCCGGAGGTTCAGCTCAGTGAGGGATGCTAGGGAGGACAGGTTGTTGACCACCTTGATCTGATTCCCGGCCAGGTTGAGGACTCGGAGTTCGGGCAAGTTGTCGAGGTTTTCAATGGTGGAGATGTTGTTGCTGTGCAGATCGAGCACGTCCAGCCTTGTCAGCTTGTCAAGCCCCTGGATCCTCTCGAGGTGATTCTTTCCCAGCATCAAGACCCGCAGGGTCGTCACTGCAGTCAGGCACTCTATGACGCGCACATGGTTGTTGTACAGATCAAGGAAGATGAGGTTGGGCAAGTTGTCGAGGTTTTCAACCTGGCAGCTTCTCGTCACGAGCCAGCACAGAGAGCAGGAGAAGGACCTTGGAGATCAGGTTGTTCTGATAGTTGAGCAGCCTGAGCTTCTCCTCTCCCTCCAGGACGGGGCAGCAACTGCGGCAAAACAAATCACAAGTTCTGATCAGGGACGCTCTTGCGATGGACGCACGTGAGCTTTCTTCGGTCAAGGTTCAGTCTCTCTGGGTTAGAGAACTTCTCCTCCTTCGATCGGTTTATAACCTGATGACGCATCTCCCCGTCAGGACCAGCAACGCTGTCCCGACGGTGCACTTACCAACTGCCCGCCATTGGAATTTCCCGATACGTTCACTGTGGCACTCGGAGTAGCCTGAACGCTGTCGTAGCGCTAGGATGGGAGTCAATACAAGGGAGATCTGAGGGCTTCAAGACCTTCTCGTTGTCCTTCTCCTCGGCATCGAAGTGCAAACCCCGGTCTGTAATGCACTTCACTCCCTGCACTGCCTTCACAACATCGCACCTTTGTTCAGCTTGTGGGGGGAGAAGAACGACACCTCCTCACTTGCACTGCTCGAGTTCCCGGGGAACTGCAGGAGGAGATGATCAAGGAGAGATGGGGCCTCCAAGAAGGCGAGGCCCACCTTGAACCCTGAGGAGAAGAGGCCTGTACCCGGCTGAGAATGGTTTCTAGTACTGGCTACATCCAAGCTGGGAACCTGATGGAGGAGCTTCAGTCACACCATCAAACTCTCGACCTCCAACCTGAGGATGGGAGGTGAAACGATTGTTTCCCATCTGGATATTCAGCAATCTGTGCGTCGGCCCGTCAGCCATTGGATTTGAATCGTACTGTCTCGCAATGCTCACCTTCCTTGTACATTCATTCCCACAGAGCTCCTCACTCCTCCGCCCTCCCCAGGTCTCCCATGCATGAGCTGCACCCGTGCTGCGCTCGCAGGCCTCTGTCCTCTGACCCCTTCCTGCCCACTCCGAAGCAGAGCACCTCGCCCCTGCCCGCGCATGGGGTCTTTGGCTGAGTCGGGGCGAACAGCCTGTGGAGACGAGGAGGAGGAGAGGGAAGAAGGAAGGGCAGTCGATGCTGACTGAGGGTTGGAGGAGGCAGGAGAAGAGGAAGTTGAGGTCCTCCTCCCTCCCAGCCGGTTCAGTACCATGCTCCTCCCCCGCCCCCCCTCCATGGTTTCGCCCTTGCCACCCCCGGAATTTTTCACATCCCACCCCTTTGACAAGGTACCCCTGTGTTTCCCTACCCACCCCCATTAATTTGAATTTTAACACTAGTACCCTATTTTTGACTGTAAAAGCAGGGGTATTACACAACAAATACGCCGTCACACCCCATCCTATGGATAGACACCCACCACTGATGTATCTGACTTGGTGATCGACCCCTCTTCCTTCAGTACCCCTTATTTTCCGCCTGAGTACCCCTATCGACATTGTGACCCTCCTTATTCCCCTTGCCCACATCCCATCTCTTACACATTTGTCCCACGTCCCCGCTCAGACCCAAAATTCAAGTAGCTGGGAAAACACTGGGAGGGAGGAGGGAGGCCCGGAGGAGGAACGGGAGGAGGAGGAGAAAGTGAGGAGGAGAAAGTGCAGTGAAAAGAAATACCAGCCTGGGAAGGCAATTATACGAGACCGGGATGCAGCAGCTGACGAAGGAAAAGACGATGGTGATGGTGCAGTCGACGATGATGGATATGGTATCCGAGCTGCAGCAGATGCTTGCTTCTGCAGTGGAGGAACGGGATGCACTGCGCGAGGAGGTGAAGCGGAAGGATGAGAAGCTTTCAAGAGAATCTTCACGTGTGGCCGGACTTTCCAAGGAGATGCAGTCGATCAGGAAGGAGCAGAGCTCTTTGCAGAAGGAGCTAGAGCGATGTAAAAGGAGTCACAAGTTTGACCTCGAGAGAGAGCAGGAGAGATGCTCTGCGATACGGGAGGAGATGAAAATGAGCCAGACGGCCTGGGACTATGCACAGACGAAGCTGGTACAGGAGATTGAGGGTCTGCGTGCTCAGCTGAGAGAGAAGGCGCAGAAAGACGAGTCAGATACGAAGGAAAAGGAGCTAATGGCTACAATTTCATCGCTAGAGAATGAGTTGAAAGAAGAGCGCAGCAAAATATCGTCCATGAAAGATATGATTGACGAACTGGGAAGGAAGACGAAGGGGCTGGAGGAGATGTTCACTGCTGAGGTTAAGCAGCTGAGGGAACCCAAGGTGACTTCTATCAGCTCAAGTGAGACCTTTTGATCCTTGAGAGCAGAACAAACCCAAACACGCGGAAAGAAACGTCAGAGTGGTGGAGGAGGCTGCGTACAGACGAATACAAGAGGAGGAGGATCGAGCTGCTGCTTGGGGGCTGTCAAGGGAACAGTAAGTGGTGACAGTAACAGAGACAAGATGGAACATGACTGTTTAAACAAGGTTCCAGAAGCAGCTCAAGGAGAAAGAGCTTGCAGCGCAACAAGTGCGAGAGCAAGAGGAAGCAACGTGGAGGGAGATTGAGCAAGCTCTAAATCTCGAGGTCATTCTGCACACTTCAAACTTGGGAGTGAGTTGCTGGATTTTCAGGCGAAGGATGATGATGAACAACATGCCAAAGACTCTTCGGACTTGCCCGAACAGAACAAGGCAGTAGAAAAGACTGCGACTAAAGGGGCCAAGGTAAGGCTGGTCCAAACTGTTAGTACATGACGGGAGCGCATGATGCGACTGTAGATAGGCAGCCTTGGGTTCAACTTCAAGTATTCGAAGACCAATCAAACGTGGAGTGTCAGCACGATAAAGCCAGGAGGTTGGGCAGCGGAGGTGAGGAGAGGACGCCGCGGACTGAATTGATCATGATCATGAGCTCAGAGCGGACTGTTGAGGACAGGAGATGTCATCATATCCGTCAACGGGCAGCCATGTAGCGGTTTGACCTGCTTGGACATGGCGAATCGATTAGTGGTAAGGACGAGGAGGTAGGAAGTGAGGGATGAGACTCAAGAAAGAGGCAGGGGATGCAGGGGACGAAGATCAGCCTGCAGCTTCAGCGGGGGAAGGAGCAAGTGGAAGTCCATGGAGTTTGCAAATCTGCTCCCTCAAGGTGACGAGAGAAGGGAGGCGGCAAGCTCTGATAGAGCAGAATGTTGCTCACAGGGAGGACGAGGACGATGACGAGAACGACGATGATAGCGAGGACGATGACGAGGAAGACCAGGAGGAGGAGGAGGAGGAGGAGGAGGAGGAGGAGGAGGAGGAGGATGGCGATAAGGACGAAGACGAGGACGAAGACGAGGATGGCGATGAGGACGAAGACGAGGACGAGGACGAGGACCAGGACGAGGATGGCGATGAGGACGAAGACGAGGACGAGGACGAGGACGAGGACGAGGATGGCGATGAGGACGAAGACGAGGACGAGGACGAGGACCAGGGCGAGGATGGCGATGAAGACGATGAAGACGGGGATGAGGATTAGGACGGGGGGGAGTATGATGGTGATGGTGATGGTGATGGTGGCAAGATCTGCCTATCCAGCAGCAGCAGAAGTTGAGAGGATTTCAAGGAAATTGACACTTGAAGTTGAGAGCAAACTTTGGAGGATGCCCCCTGAAGTTTGTGTCGTAGAGCGTCTGGCCGTTGAAGCCTGTGTCGAACTCACAGCCAAGGCGGAAGGAGATGCTGGGAGTAAGGGCCTGCTGGGAGTCAGGATGGGGGAGGAGCAGGGGGATGGGGGGAAAGAGGGGATCGAAAAGATGGTCAAGAGGAAGAGGAGGAGAAGAGGCAGGAGGAGGCGGGGAGGGGGAGGAGGAGGGGGCCCCCACTCACCCGAGTGAAGACAGCGCCTAACAGACCGCTAGAGCGAATAACAGCTCTCAAGCTCGACCTTTCGCTGATCTTGTGCCTGATTGGCACTGGCGTGAAGGATGGTGGTGGTGGTGGTGATGATGATGATGACGATGAAGAGGAGGAGGAGGAGAGGAGGAGGAGGAGAGGAGGAGGAGGAAGGGGAGGTTTCGAGGGTGGTGTTGATGGAAGGCGAGCAGCATGCAGTAGAGAGAAAGGAGCGGGCCAATTGACTCACTCCAAACCAACAGCTCCTGCCTTTGATTGCTCCTCACTCGTCAAGGACCCCTGCCATCGCCGGCTGGTCACAACCAACACGCCCGCAACGCCCTCATACAGCAATCTGCAGGTCGTTGGAGAGTGTATGATGGAAGCTCGCCGTGTACGACCTCATGTCGTCCGAGAAGACACATCCGACCTGCGGGCTACCTTCAGTCCCTCTCAGCACTGACGTCAAGACAAGACACTTGGAGGTTATCCACGGTGTACCTGGACTACAAGTCAAGGGCTCAAGGGGACAACACGCTACGGGTTCGCATCACTCACTGCAGTGCGAGCTTGACGTCTGAGAGCTTGTTGCTGCGCTTCCTGGTATTGAGGATTGCTTTCACCCCTCCAGCCCACCCGCCGGCCCCTGCACAAGGCTGAGGATGCTCTGACTCCACGAGGACTCTTGAGATACCCGTCAGGGCAGACAACTGCAGCTGGTTTGAGACGAAGCTGCTCTAGGGTCACACAGAGTGCCTGGGGAGGTTGACAGGATCGTACTTGCGGGTGGCTCCGATGGAAAGATGCTCGTTGTTGATCTCAACTCCTAACTTTCCCTTCAGCTCGGAGATCGCCTGCTCCAGAACAACGATGATCAGGATATCGAGAGAGTCCTTCATGCGAACCTCCCCGATCCTCATCAGAGGATTGGAAGATATATAGATGTTGGGTTCCGGGTGCCTGCACAGCAGGAGAGGAGCCGAGAGCAGCGAGGTCAGAGCACGGCGATACCGGCAAGGACACGTTCTCACGCTACTTCCAGGCTGAGACGCGCGGTGGGACTGTGAGGGTTCGTCAGCGTCGTCAAAGGACTCGAGCGATCTCCCGGACCTGAATCGCATGTTCACTTGCACGTTGCCGTCGCCGTCGGGCCCCGTGGCGATCTTGTTGATGACCTGGAAGGGGCCGTAAGGGGACAACCTCAGCGAGTGGAACAGACTGAGTGAACCTCCAGCCCCGAAGTCTGTCCGAAGAGATGGTTGTAGAACGTGCATCGCAGCCTCTCAGTCATCACTCCCCTCCACTCCGACCGATCCCGTAGAACTTCAGCCATCGGCAATCGAGCCGCATCGTCAGAGTTCACATTTTACCCACAAGTCAGGATAACATGCCCTGTGAAGGACAAGAATGAGATACCTGGGCACCAGTTAAACGCAGATCCTAGTTTTAGCGTTGCGCCATTGTCAATGGCAGTGGTCGGCATTTCCAGTTCGATCCCATGGTTGTTCGGAATCTGCAAGAGATCCTTCACTGATCACTCGGGCAACCTCTTGTTGTTAGAGATCGTCAACTGAGCATGTCTCTGTCTCTGTCTCTGTCTCTGTCCCTCTTCTACCCTCCCTCCATCTCATTCCAACCTTTCGGAGAAGAATCTCAGAGCGTTTGCCAACCTTGTCGAAGAATCCGTTCCCCTAAACAAAGTCAGGATCACTCCACTCTCCTCCTCCCTCCATCGTTGCGAGACGGCGGCATCGCCCAAGGACCTTCTCCCATCTCTCCTCTCCTATCCTCATGCTCCCATCACCTTCGCTCCTCCGCTCATCGTCGCCAGGAGCAGCACTATTGCCCATTGCCCCGCCTTGCCCAGCATTTTCCGTCCCCCGTTTCCTTGGTGAGTTTATAATAAAAAATTCATATTATGTATAATTATGTTATTGTTTTAAGCTTATATATAAATCGCTTGAAACCGTTATGAACCGTTCCAGACGTCACTTCGCAATGGCGGTGGTTTTGTAGTGCAGGGCAGGAAGGGAGAGGAGGAGGGAGGAGGGGGGGGGGAGAGAGGGAGGGAGAAGACGAGCAGGAGGACGAAGAGAGGGAGGGAGAAGACGAGCACGAGGATGAAGAGAGGGAGGGAGAAGACGAGCACGAGGACGAAGAGAAGGAGGGAGAAGACGAGCACGAGGATGAAGAGAGGGAGGGAGAAGACGAGCACGAGGATAAGAGAGGGGGGGAGAAGACGAGCACGAGGATGAAGTGGACTATGTCGAGAATGTCTGATCAAGTTGTCATCTCCTGACCTCAGCATGCGGCCTCAGCTACTTTCACCCAAAAATCAACCTTCACTGAATGGCTGTAGAAATTTATGCAGCCTGATAGGCCATGTAGCTGTTGATGACCTCCTGGCAGGTTTCATGACCAGACAGGGAGTCTTGTGGGCGGGAGGCGCGGCCTTCAGCACAGGTGAGCGATCACATAGCTGGAAAGGATTACAATAATGCTACGTCCTTCAGCCCTGATCCTGTTGACATGGATGGCACCGGCATCGCGCGTTACGCGCCAGGTCTTTTGGCAGGAAGAGGCTGTGAGAAGCTGACGAGCTGGTTCAGCGGGCGGTGTTGGAGTCTGCGATCTTACCTCCCAAGGTCTGATAGTCCATTCCCTTTCCCTCCTCACGGCAGCTGATTGGGTGGGCGAGCAGGCGTTTCGCGATTGGGTCTATGAGAACACCAAGACCTCGGCGACTCCCAGCAACGAGATCCCCATGGACAGGTTCGGCTGTCTTTGAACTCTGCTTCTCCTCTCCTTTCCCCTCTTCCTTCCTCTTCGCTCTTCCCTCGTCCCTCGTCCCTCCTTCCCTTCCTCCTCGTTTTCCACTCTCTCTGCGTCCTCCCCCTTCTTTCCCTCTCACTCTCCCCTGCTGCTCCCTCCCCCAGCTGTCGTCGCCACCCTCCCCCTTCCTCTCCCCTCTTTCGTCCTCTTCCTCACCTGCTATCAGATTCTCCGGACGTGGACTGGGAAAGAGCCGGCAGACAGTGATGCCGGGGTACGAGGAGCAGGACGCCAAGGAGCTGCGGGAGGCATACGAGGAAAAGTACCGCAGCCTCCAGCCGGACATGGAGAAGCTGGATGCGGAGATCGCCAAGGAGGGAGAGACGCCGGAGCTGCGCGAGCAGAAGTTGAAGCTGGATGAAGAGCTCAAGGACGCCAAGGACGCCTGGATGGCAGCGCAGGTGCGGGAGCAAGCAGGAGAGCGGTGGTGTGCTGACAGGTGTTGAAGGGGAAAGTTATCCGGCTGAACAAGGAGCTGGTGAATGGCAAGCTTTATCACTGGTGAGGGATGGGAGGAGTTGGGGGAGGGAAGGACAATGGGATAGATTGCGGAGCAAAGGGAAGGAGGGAAGATACGGACCAGAGGATTGTCAAGAGCAAAAAGCGAGGAAACGAAGAGTCTTGGAAATCAGTGGAGAGGAAGAAGAGTGGAGGGAGAAAAATCCATGACGAGGAGGTGGAAGAAAGTGGACACGAGGGGGCAAGGAGGGGAAGAGAAGTGCAGAGGAAGAGGAGCGGAGATGGTGACTTGGTTTCAGGAACAAGGAGAATGGTCTCGGAGGGTCGGACAACTTCGTTCCCGTGGAGGAGGCGCATGCCCAGCTGATCGGTGGAGGGTATGGCAAACGATACAGCATCGTTGACTGGCTGGCCGGAGAGTGAGGAGCGGGCGGGGGAGCGTGCGGGTGGGTAAGGTGTAATCTATGACTAGCGGACAGACTCTCCGTAGCTCTTAAAGGTTGGAGAGAGCCAGCTTGTCTCTGTTCCGTCCTCTTGGCAGCGTCTTGACGCTGCTGCTGCTGCTGCTACCCTCCTCTCCTCCCTCCTTCGTCGCCATTGCCCCCCATCATCATTGTCTTCGTCCTCAACCTTGTACATCATCGTCGGTCCTGTCCTCGCTCAGTTTCTCCACCGTCGCGTCTCAACAGTTCGATGCCGCTGTGTCTCACATAACTATGCTGCCTCCTGTCCTCGTACCCCTGCATCCCCGTCAACCGCATCACACGATCTCCTGAAAGTCGAACGTGTACTTCATGCAATCCAGTCGCCTTAATCGTCGTCTCTTTCTCCATCATCTGTATCGTCCCTTCCTTTCTCTCCTCCCTTCCGTCTCCGTTTGCTGTCCCGCTCCTCCTCCTCCTGCACTTGCGGCTCGGAAGATTCGAGTGAGTCCGATATGCTCGGCTGCCCATCGTCAGCCCCCAATCCCCTCCCTCCCTCTCCCTTCCTCACCGCTTGCCACGTTTCCTCGCACTCCCATGGCGCATGATAGCACCCGTCGTCGTCAATCCATCCAACCACGTCACTTCACCAACAAACGCGTTACTGCAAGCAAAGAGCAGGGGCACGTGCAGGGGCAAGGGCAGGGGCGGGGGCAGGAGCAGGGGCAGGAGCAGGAGCAGGAGCAGGAGCAGGAGCAGGAGCAGGAGCAGGGTCACCGTAGACTTGGATCTATCTTGACTGTGTAGTTGGAATCCAAGTTGAGGTTCTCGAACATTTCATCAAGCATTCCTACTCCTTGTCTGCGTTTGATCTGTGGGATGAGAGCAAGAGGGAGCGAGCGAGGAGAGGAAAAAAGAGTAGCAGGGACGA